CTTAATGAATCTTTAAATTAATGGTTCATTGCTCAACTTTTTAGCTTGTCTCCATGGAGATGTTATTGCTTTGTCTGGAATGTTCCATGGTATAACATTAAACATGTTCATCTAGCATTTATTCATTACGGGTGTTTCTGTTGCTCAAAAATACAACAATTTCTTCTGTGAATAGAGGCGACTCTCCACAGATCTGACTTGTAATGTAGCATAGTGCTGAAACCTGCTTGTCTCTTTCATGATAGATAGGGTTAATCTATACTGCAGAACATTTTCGACAAAGCAATAACATTTCCATGGAGACAAGCAGATGGTCCCAGCCTGATTTATCAGCCGGTTTCACTTTGCAGAAACCTTCTGACCTCGCAGTGTTAGAATTTGTTCGCTCGACGATAAGAGGGTACTTTTTATCATTGAACCAATTGCTGCTATTTGGTCGTGATGTATGTAATGTGCCGCTAACGGGGCTAACTGGTATATTAAGATTTTCCCAAATCCCGTAGGAAGAAGGACAATAACGTCTTTCTTTTGCTTGATGAAATTCACCAAACATTCTCTTTATTCTGGCTTTAAATCCTTGATCTCGGGAATCGTTGCCAACACTGAATATATGGCTCTTTGCTGATTGGCTGGTGCCTGAACTCGCACTTCTGGGGTTTTTGTGAACCATCTATTGTACTTTTGTATTTTGATTCCTGACCTAGTGGCTGGAGACAAATAAAATTGAGTGGAGCAACTTGGTGACACCAGCCTGGAGAAGGTGGTCCACACTCCACTACAAATATTACACAGTGCAACTTTAAACAACTTAAAAAAATAAAATAAAATTAATAAATATGCAGAGGCCTACATAGATATGGTAATATTTTGAAGTTTTATTCTACTTAAATTACATAAAGATACAAGTATTATTTATGAATTGTCATTTATTTATTCATGTATTTATTTATTTTATTGTATTTATTTTTTTCAGATTGATTTATAATGAAATTTGAAAAAAAAAAAAAAGTAAAAAGTAAAGTAAGATCATTGCTAAATGAGACATTGTTTTTCCAATCCAAAAAACAAAACAAAACAAAAAAACACTGTTCCATATATTCCTGTTGTCATGGTAACTGATTCCATGTTGTCCTAAAATGACCCAACCATGAAGCAATAATTAGCCGCTCACAATAACTAGCCTATATAGTGCCACCCAAGGTCATACACTCCTCGTTGTGAGCCTAATCCTGCATGTATACTTGTTTTTACCATAGTAAATACTCGGCTCTATACCTCACCACAGCTCGGAGGCCTCGGGGACTTTACCCTGTACGCAATCACCATCAACTCACTAATCCTTTTGATATATGCACTCGCAATTTCCCAGTCTAATTTCCCCCCTCGTGTCCGGAAGGCAGGCGGTCCCGGCGCATTCTAAACATAGAGTCAACTGATGCAACCAAGATCCACAATTAAGCCAGAGAGGGGTGCCAGGTTTCATTGGTGCCATTATAATTATGAGTGCACTTCCTGATCAGGCAGCTTCCTCGGTCCAGTAAATCGGAAAAGTTGGGGATAAACTTGGAGTAAATGAAAGACCCCATATGATGCTGTTTTCTGATCTACTAGTAGGTTTTCTCGTCGCAAGCGTACCTGGAGTTGTGTTTTTTTTGTTGCATTCACACAAAGCTTGCACATTTAAGCTGAGTTCTTCTTTCAAATGATACAAGAAGTTCTCCACTGTGTTTTTAAACTCCACACACCTTCACCAGAATCATTTGGATGATTTCCGACCTGGAATTGTCAATCTCCACTGAACTAAAGTCAAAAAGGTAGTTGTAAATTATCGCTTCATGACATCACAAGGTGGAACAGTGTTTTGAACTTTGGAGATGTAGACAGACTACTAAAACATGTGTGAATGAAACAAAACACAACTCCAGATATGTTTTTGAGGCGGTAACAACTCGGCATTATAACATGGCATCCTGTTGATGAAACTGCTGCACATAGCATCAGGTTTGTGAAGTTGTAGTGTACTGTTTTGTATAGAGAATTGTCATATGGGAGCATGGGTGAGGTAGGATTGTGGGCGAAACGTTGCACAGAATCCTCCAGCTGACCATAAAGAGGGTTAGAATAACATGCATGGACGACATCTACAATGTTTTTGAAAAGGGAACAACATTATAACCAGTGTTGTGAGTAATGCGTTCTAAAAGTAATGAATTACTGTATAATTATAATAATGTATAATGTAATAATTACAGCTTTTTGCTGTAATGCAGTAATGTTTGGCATTGCAGGGAAAAAAATTGTCATATTTTACTTGGTACAAATGTCAGTAACGCACATTACAATCCTTTTTTAACCTGGACTGAAGTGGTGGGTTTTTCGTTTTTCTTCATACAAATAGTTAAAATCACTGCGATATCAGCAGCAGTGAAATGCTGGGGGTGCGCCTGCGTACATTGTCGGATAACAGCGGGCGAAAGGACCGGCGCAGATCTCCGTGCTCCATGGGGCTAACCGCAGCTGATGCCCGATCGCGCTTTGTAGACACCCTGCTCCATGGGCTCGGGGTTCTCTCAGGGGCAGTGCTAAATTCCAGGTCCTAGTCCAAGATTAGTCCTGGTTTAGTCTGGCTTCAGCTGTGGTTCAGTTCTGTTATAGTCCTGGTTTAGACCTGATTTAGTCCTGGTTTAGTCCCGGTTCAGTCCATATATGGCGCAAGAGTTCGCCATCTTTGCACAGTTACTTTGGTGAGAGTAACTTAAAAGTGCTGCAATAGTCGTGTAATGTTTTACATTTTAAATGCAGTAATATTGTAATGTAACAAATTACTTTGAAATGACAGTAACAAGTCATAAATAACGCATACAGTTTTGAAGTAACTTGCCTAACAGTTATTATGGTAGAAAGCTAAAAATTTTAAAATGAAAACTGCAAAATACCCCTCTTTAATAAATACATGAATAAATAATTAATTGGAAGTGGAAAAAAACAAATAATTGTACAAGTAATATGTGTCAGGGCAGACAGACAGACAGGAAGTAGGTCTGTGGGCCAAGTCAATACGACCAACCCACTGACCTGTGGCAGTGGAAATTTTGGTTAAACAGCAACAGCAGAAAAGCTTGGCCAAAATTTAAGACATAAACACTTAAAACTATCAGAAAATTAAGTAAACAGAGTGAAATGATCTGTCCATGCAGCAAGATAATTTTACTTGACAGACTTAAACTTAAAATAAACTACCTTTAGACTAGATTAAAGCAGTCTCTGGAAGTGTTCATAGGCTGGAAATAAGTTTATGGTTGCCAAGTTTTAGATAAACATACTCCAGTATTGGCACTAGGTGGCACCAGTCTGGATAAGAAATTCCTGAATTGACTTCACAAACTTTTTGGAAAAACTAACTTGACCTGTTAGTTTCTGATCTCTGTTATAATGTATAATGTTTTCTGATCTCTGTTATAAACAGACCTGTTTCCTGTTATTAGGTTCTTTTTTCAGACCAAGAGTTTGTTTCCATATGTGACAGTTTCGACTGCTCACTAGTGGTCTTCCTCAGAGTGGTCACGTGATGTTGCTCTGACGTGTCTGGTCAGCTGATTTATACAGGTTTTGGCACTGTCTTCCTACCGGTGAAGGCAGGAGGACAGCGCCATCTACAGTCCGATTTCCTCAGGACAGTATCCATGGATCTGTTGAAAGAACTGGATAGGGTATTGCTGCTTGTAGCTGCCTCCAGCTGATGTAGTGGTCACTCACTGGGCCAAGAAAGGATTTTCCTCATAGAGCGCAATGTAATCACAAACTGCTCATGTTCAGCTGTCAAGGCACCTACAACTTTCAAAAATGTCAGATTTTGTGGCGATTTTTACCTATTTTTATATCATAAACTTTTTCTCAGCTCAAAATCCTTCAGTTGTCTTAAAAAACACTGTCATTAGCTCTGGCTAAGCTCTGCTCTCTCTAGCTCGTCTCACTCTGATTGGTCAAAGCGATCACATGATATGCACTCTCATGCATTCGCTTGTGCCCGTGGGAGAAAAGAGCATTACTGCGCATGCTCAATTGGCCCGGAGCCACCGGAAGTACCTAGCTGGGCTACGCTAATCTGGAGTCATGCGCCATTGAGCTCTGCATGGGCGGCCATTTTGAGACCCCGGGGCTTGACAGTATCCCAGGTGTGTGAGAGTAAAAAAGACCCTCGTCCCGGTTTATTAACAGAAATTATCAGAAGACCAAATTAAATCTCATTGGACTAAACCCATTTTGTTTCAGACATGTTTGACACACAAACCCTGAGTTCTTCTCGGAAACAGAAACCACTCTGTTCCACCTTGTGATGTCATGTGGTAATACAGGAAGTGCTCCACTGTGTTTTTTAACTCCATACACCTTCACTAGAATCATTTGGATAATCTCAGCCTTAGAATTTCAATCTCTTCTGAACAAAAGATAAAATATTGCTGTTCACTTGAAAACTACCGCTTCATGACATCACAAGGTGGAACAGAGCATTTTGAGCTTTGCAGACGTAAACAAAACACAACTCCAGGTCTATTTTTGATGAGGTAGCAACATTCTAACACGTCTTAAACCTCACAAGAGTCAGTTTTGCCTAACACAGTAAAGCTCCTCTATAATGTCTAATAAATAACCGCTCTTACGCCAATCCCTCTGACCTGCGATAACCTTTGACCCCAAACCAGGAAGTACAGTACAGCACCCTCTCCGTTTTCCCCATCCACCCGCTACAACCTCTGCGCTCTTTGTAAAGGAGCTAGCATGCGTGAAGCCTACTGTTTACTCACGGCCTAGCCCACGTCCGACTGGTTCCCATGCCGTCTAAGACAACACGGGCTAGCATAGCGCGCACGCTGGCTTTTGTTATGATCTCAGGTGAAGCTTTAACATGTGAGCTAGGAAGATAAGAGAGGTGTTGGCTAACTTTTTTTTTTTTTATGTGTGTGTCGGTGTTGCAGGGAGGAGAAGGCGTGTGCGTCGCCGCGGGGGATCAGAAAGAAAATGAGTCAACGCTGGGAAAGGAGGGAGCACTTTAAGAGACTGGCTATGGACAGTGGGCTACCGGTAAGTTCTGATCTATGTGAGTTAGTGTGCACAAGTTAGCAGTGGTGGATGAAGTACGCAATTTTGGTACTTAAGTAAAAGTACGGATACAGCGCCAAAAGATCACTCAAGTAAAAAGTAAAAGAATCATGTGAAAAAAGTAAAAGTATTGAAGCAGATGTTTAAAAATGTGCTTTAAGAGTAAAAAGTAGTATTTTGTAGAGATTTTCTGAAAATTACAGCATCAAATGTAGTGATTTTGGAAAACAATTATGTAATTCAATTGATTTCTTAATTTTTCTGTTGTTTTTGTATATTTGGTTTACACGAAGTTGGGTAAAGTAAACTCAAATGAAGTGTGGTAAAAAATAAGTGTCCGGCATTTCAGCAGGTATCAAACCTTAAAGAAAAGTACTTTTTACTTTTCAGTCCAGAGTAGAACAATGTACATATACACGCTCTCAAATGTAATTAAGTAAATGTAAAAAGTATCCACTGTAAAATTTACTCAAGTCAAGTACAGATGCCTAAAATTTGTGCTGAAGTATTGTACTTTTACTTTTGTACTTAGTTATTTTCCACCACTGTTATTGTGTCATATGTTCTTGTAGTGTCTGATTTAAAAGGTGCATTGCGCAACTTTTCTAATCTACTTGTCTCCATGGAGATGTTATTGCTTTCTCTGGAATATTTCATGGTTTGACATTATAACATATAAACATCAATTTAACATGTATTCATTACAGGTGTTTCTAATTCTCAAAAATACAATCATTCCTTCTGTGAAAAGGGGCGCCTCTCCATAGATCTGAATTGTAATATAGCATAGTACCGTAGCCTGCTTGTGTCCCTCATGATAGATAGGTTTAATCTATACTGTGGAACATTACAGACAAAGCAATAACATTTCCATGGAGACAAGTAGGTGACGGGCCCATCACTAGGAATGTTACGTAGTGCACCTTTAAGCTGAGGGTAATGAGGCATTGTTGATTTGCAAATTTTGTGATGTGGCTAGTCTTTGGAACTTGTCCGTAATATCAATGATCAGGTTTAATATTTGTTCAATGTACTTCTAAATATTGGGAAATACAATATTGAATGCAGAAATGTTTTTTTTTTTTAATGTGTGTTAATTTACCTCATAATTTTAGTTTGTCTAGAATGTGTGTGGCTGCTCATGATGAATCAAGTATCAACTCTGAATTCAAACCAAAATATCGAGCATTATATTGTAACACATTTCCATTGAAAAAAACAACAACAAAAAAAACAAGAAAAACTAAACGTGCTTTTATAGGGACATTTCTATACAGTGGAACATTTCTATTTTTCAGGTCCTATATTCCACAAAGATACTCTTTTGACCTGCAAGCCATATTATAGAATTTTGTGACCTCCTAAAAACATACCTGGAGTTGTTTTGTTTCATTCACATATGTTTGAATAACTCTGCATTATTAGTCTGTCTACATCTCTAAAGCTCAAAATGCTCTTTTCTACCTTGTAATGCCACGAAGCGGTAGTTTTCAAATTAAGAGCTACTTTCTACTGATTCCAAGGCTGAAATTATCCAAATGATTCTAGTGAAGATGTATAGACTTTAAAAACACTGTGGAACACTTCCTGTATTACCACATGACATCACGTTTTAGAGAAGAAGCCTAAATATGCAGTGTTCATGAGTTAAAACAAAACACAACTCCAGGTCTGTTTGTGATGAGGAAACCACATTATAACATAACAGAAAATAGTGTAATATCTGCCTTTAAAGTTTTCCATCACTGTTGTGGTCGGCTGCTTTTAATTTTTAGTAAGCAGATTGTACGTCACCTGACTAGCAAGTCCACAAGTCCAAGTTACTGTGTACTAGACTAAGTGGAAATCTGGTTAAAGCTGGTGAATTATAAATAAGTAAACAGATCGAAAATATGACTACACAATTGTACACATACCACCGGCTAACAAACAAAACACAACACAACACGCAAAATGTGTATTAAACATAACAATAACATGATACCCCACTCTTTTCTAAAGCAACTATGCAGAGAGAACTACAAAGACCATAATCCTTTGCACGTTTTTTTCTGCAGTCCACATTTATGAATGCTGTTGTTGTGTCCTTGGGCAAGACACTTAACCCACCTTGCCCCTATTATTTGAGTAAATGTGCGTGAATGGGTGAGTAGTGCCTTGAAGTCGGAAAAGTCCTATAAATATAATATATATATATATATAATATATATAATATATATATATATATATATATAATATATATATATATATATATATATATATATATATATATATATATATATATATATATATATATATATATATATATATATATATATATATATATATATATATATATATAATATATATATATAATAATATATAAAAAACATTTGCTTTTTGTCCTGAGGATTGTTATGCACCTCATCTGTTTGTCTGTCTATGAATATTATTACATTTAAAAACTGTACAAAAAGCTTTCAATTCATAAAAACGAACAAAAACGTACATGCATTTTCAAACATTTATCACATGGCAGTAATTAAAAGGTTACATTCTTGTGCTGATGCCGGTCCCCCGTAGACATATGACTCACTGGTTTGTTTGTAGTGGACTTCCTGACCAGTGCGCTTGGTTGACACGCGTTTTCGCCCCGTGACGCTCTGCAGGTTTTTCTGTGCATTCTGGCTAACGTCGCTAACGCCGCTAATGCTACACTTCCTGTATGAAGCACGAGTCCACAGGAAATAGACGTTTATGTTATGGGCCTCATGTAAACACCGCAGGGGGAGGAAGTGGACTGCTGATGCCTTTTAACGCTAACATCAACTCTGCTCATTTCAACGGAATTTGCTTGGTTACACTGTACAGATGGTGAGCAATGGTGTAAAAATGGTGAAATGCAACAGGCAGGTTAGGGTTGAGTAATGGATGGATGGATGGAAAGATGGAAAGATTGAAAGTCATATCTGATCGTCAGTGTTTATGAGTGAAGAGGAGCAGAGGGGGGTTCAGGGTTCTGTTGCCTTATATTAGTGGAGGTATCCTAAAGGAAGTTTGTATTAATATGTCAGAAAGATGGAGTCAAGTGTGTTAATGTGAAGAGCTTGAGAGTTTCTTGGTTGAAAATAGAGATCTGACTGATATTTTCGATAAAAAAGTGAGACAATGTGTGTGGGAGAGAGTGGCGTTTAACAGGAGGACTAGTCAGGTAGGGTCAGGGCAGTTTGAGGAGAGTAACAGTCCTCCAGACAAAAGTGTCCCTCCTGCAGCATCACAACAGTGTCCAGGGGGAGCCAGGTGAACAGAACAGGAAAGGTCTCACTCTTACTCCGTTCTGGTGTTTCAGTTGGTGATGAAATGGACCGATCCCTCAAAGTATTTCTTATGGAAGGTCTCGGCATACTGATTACATTTTTTAGAATACATAGCAACTGATGGGGATAAGCTTTGCTGATATTTTGAGGCCAAAATGTAGGGCAAATTTAGATATTTTTTCAAAAATAACATGATACAAAACTCACTGATGTTTAGATTTCTACAGCTCTGTTTAATTAATTTTTATCACATTTTGCGCTGAATCCTTTTAGGACTTAGCCAGGCTGGCGCCACCTAGTGTCTCCATTCAATTAAATTTCTCTCCAGTGACTAGGTCAGGAATCAAAATACACTAGACCACAGGTGTCAAACATGGGGCCTGGGGGCCAGATCCGGCCCTCCAAGACCTTTAATCTGGCCCTCGTCTGATTTTCTACTAAAATATTTAAATTGTATTTTTTATTAAAATATTGTTAATTTTCTGCGGTGTTTATCATAGCAGCGTCTCCAGCGTCTCTGTGCGTGGCCCCTCCCACCAGAGCAGCACAAATGAAGACTTGTCTCTTTCCAAACGCTCTTAAAGGACGATCGTTTTGACTGTTGACCGTGACACCCTCATCAACAAAATGTCAAAAATGAGGAAAGTGGAGCCGAGTGCAGGATTTTACAACTAAAATTTACTTATTCCTATTTCTACAAGTTAATGTTAAACAAGTTCATGTTAAAACATTGTGGTGAAATTGTATTTTTCTTAAAGTTTCAGGTTGTTCATAATATTATAATATTTTGTAAAAGAAAGAGTTCATCAATTAAAAAAGATTTCTGTAATAGATTTGTGTTTCTCTGCACAAATATTTGAACTTATTGTTATTTTTGGGGTTTATATGCCGTGAGTTTTCTGATCCGGCCCCTTTGGGATCAAAGTCGGTTGGATATGGCCCCCGGACCAAAATGAGTTTGACACCCCTGCACTAGACGATTTGCAAAAACCCTGGAAGTGCAAGTTTGGGCACCAGCCAATCAGTGAAGAGTCATGTATTCAGTGCTGGCAATGATTCCCTAGATTGAGGATTTAAAGCCGAAACAAAGAGAACGTTTGGTGAATTTTATTGGTTATTGTCCTTCTTCCTACGGGATTTGGGAAAAGCTTAATATACCAGTTAGCCCTGTTAGCAGTGCATTACATACATCACGACCAAATAGCAGTGATTGGTTAAATGGTAAAAAGTACCCGCCTACCATCAAGCTCTACCTTACATTTATTCTCATTTGTTTCCCTGTGGCAGGTGTTTTGGTCCCAAACATATCAGTCTATGCTGGAGCTATAAGGCCAGTATCCTTACTTATAATTACTTAAAATTACAAGTATTGTGCTAGTTGGAAGGCAAAGGTAACAGCATAACAGTAGTTTAGATGTTGCCGTTTAATAAGGCTATTTAGTGGCAATGGGGTAGGTAGGTAGGAAGGAAGGAAGGAAGGAAGGAGTATGCTGTTACTGCCTCTAAAATATACCTGGAGTTGTGTTTTGTTTCATTCACACATGTTTATTATTAGTCTGTTTACATTTCTAAAGCACAAAATGCTCTGTTCCACCTTGTGACGGCATTAAATAGTTTTGTAGTTTTCTAATAAACAGCTAAATTTTTTATTTTTGTTCTGTAGAGATAGGCAATTCCAGGGCTGCA